ACTTAACTGAGAAACATTTTTATGTAAAAGTAAATAAAATAAAATGTAATTAATATTTAAAATTATCGATTAATATTGAACTTCAGTATTTTATTGGTTTCTTGCCAACTCAATTTAACACTGCTGATTTGATTTTAAAACTTAATAAACTTTTAATGCATTTCTATTTGATTGACTTCGCCTTCGTCAAAATAATAAAATTGGTCTGAAAGCTCTTGAGTGAAATGGTTTTTACGTGGGAACGATTTTTGTGCAATTAAACTTAAATATGAAGTGCTAATATTGTGATGACGTCGAATTGGAAACGCCGAGAATCATTTCCGCGTAAAAATATTTTGATTGTGGATGGAAAATCGAATCGCAAGTACATTACTTTTATTTTATTGATGTCTTTTATTCTGAGTAGACGAGAACGGACTTGACTGGGCTATTTGTTCCAGGACGGCGCCGCTGAACACGCATTCGTCGTTGTCACAAATCAATAAAAGAAGACTGGAGATTGGAGTTGATATAGAAGCTTTTCGGCTAAACGAAAGGCGGTTTGAGTGCATTGGAAGCGAAGGTTCTATGGATGAGGAAGTCATAAATAAAAGACGACGGCGTTTACTTGAAGATGAACATAGGGAAGAATCTGATGCGTTCCAACATGCTCTTGCATCTAAGTTGCCTCATTCCATAAGGCACCCAGACGAAGACGATGAAAATCTTATTAGGGAAACTCAAGCAGCGCTAAGAACTCTTTCTGGAAGCTGGTCAAAAGATCAAAACTGCGCTCAGAGCGGTGATGAAAACGAAAGCGGCAACGATTTCGAGAACCTTTTTGATGACAAGCGATCCGACAAAATGCTTCCTTCGTCCCCATCACAATCTTCCGAAAGTGCAGACGCATCGCAAAAAAGTTTTGCCCTGCGTAATATAAGCGATGAACATAATAACTGCGACACCAATGAGGGTAATAAACAACAAATGTCTTTGTCAGATAGAGAGAAGAGCATTGATGATGACAGAAACAGTAGATATTCAAATCATTACGATGGGCCTAATTTCGACGAACTTGTCAATTCATCTTCAAATGAGTTAGAGATAGACATGTCCGATCGAAACGACGAGAAATACGACGATGATAAAGACTTAAATAATAAACGTAAAAGCGAAATCATATCTGTAAACAAGCAGTCACTGTATAATGCTTACAAAGCTGCAACAGCAGCGTTGCCCTTCTCGACGCAGTCTGCGTTCAAACCACCGGCCGAAGTAAAACATAAAATTCCCGGGACCTCGTTCCCAAGTGAACCATTCGGGGGGTATTCAAACGAGCCCGAAAAGAGTTCCGGAGTCAAGGGTTCAAAGCAATACACAGTGCTTCAGCCGGCGGGTGCTGGATCGAGAGCGGCGACGGCGTTGCAGGAGGCGCGCGCCTTACCTTCGACACAGCCTGCGCGAGACTCGCGGGCTTTCACATCGCTTTCGCCGACGCCACATCGAGGTGCGCCGCCTCACAGAACCGTTTTCAAACTTTCTTAACGATCTCACTGTTCCATTTAACAGTGCTATCAACTGAGTTTGTTTCAAGGTCGTGCAGAATATTTCTTGTTTTACAGTCAACTGAGATTTCCATAACAGTTAATATTGCTAATCACTACAACGTTTTAGTTATCGCAATATGTAATATCATTAGTAAATTGTAGAGTCAAATGAAACTCGAACTCGTTGTTATTATTCTAAACAAATATAGTTCTAGGGAACAGATTTTAGCTTGTAATGAAATTCACCAACAAATCATCCTTCATTTGTATGATGTCTCTCTTAATTTAGTCTGTGGATGTTAGAACATGGGACTCCACCTACGTCAATATCGTATAGGTATAAAAGATAAATGGTAATACCTACATGTTTTCCTCGTATTGCTGACTAATAGCTAGGTTTACGTCACGGCGAAGTGCAATAAAAACGGGTCAAAGCAGGCGGTGGGAGGAGCGTTATCGCGCCGCCCCGCTTCTCCTGAAAGAAAAATCGGTAGTTGGCCCGCGCAGCCGCCCGGCGTTCTTTATTTTTTCTTTTAAGTTTGCCGGCGGGGTGGGGCCGGGCGCTGGGCGGGGCTGCGCAGGTACGCCCTGCGGACACGCCCGTCCGTATCGATCGCACCCATACGCCCCCGCCTGATGATTAAGAAAATTCTAATTCGTGTACCGGTCGATTTGTTCACAGAAGGCAACAAGTGTCCCACTCCTGGCTGCAATGGGCAGGGCCACGTCACTGGACTTTACACGCACCATCGGAGGTGAGTTGCCGCTATGATTTTCATGTATTTCAGTGACACTAACACGAACGAAAGCTGCCACCAAAGTACTAGACTACTCTAATAAATAATTCCTAGTGTAAATTCTACAATATAACATTGATTACACATATGAATGGTTAAAAATAATTCATTCTTAAAATACTCTAATATACAAACAAGAGTGTACGATACTAAAAACGTATACTGATCAAAACATTTCTTCCCTCAGTCTGTCAGGATGCCCAAGAAAGGATAAAGTTACCCCGGAGAGTGAGTAAATAAATACATATCGATAGAGAGCTTTTAATGTATTTTTTAAGTGTTCAGTACTGTTTTTATAGTAACTTAAAGAAACAAACCAAATGGAATCACCACAAAGCTCAACGAAATAAAGAATATTAACAAAATGCTGAATATCGAAAGAACATTTCCATATCCAACTTAAAAATTCTAATAACTGTAAACGGTACTGAGCACTAAGTGATTATTTTTTTTTGTGTATCACAAATGTTAATTCCAGTTTATTTATTTTTCCTAATTAGCATTTAGATATAATATGTCGTCGTATCGTATAGTATCGTAGTGCCTACATAGATAAACATAATCATACTCCGTTATATAGTGATACTATAATAGACATTTTTCCTAACTGTAAAGTGCAATCAGTTTAAAAATTGTATATATAAATAAATTGATTTTATTTATATAATTGTCAGTACATAAATTAAAGGTTTACTATATGCTAGGTTTATTATATACTAGGTATATTATACTATATACTGCAATTAGGTTTTAAAGCTATAAAGTTTACAAACATTCTTTTAACATTAGTTTTTTGTAATTTACTATTTTAGTATTTGTGGTAATTAGTAACTATATAAAGTTATTATAAAGTATCAGTTTAAGCAATAATCCATTGCGAACATGGCATAAATAAGTTAAACATTTATCTAAGCTTTTTACAAAATATGTAGTATCTCTATTTTTGAACATCATAAGATGTCCAAGGCACAGATAAATATGTCCTTGTATTATTTGAAGAAAAAAATTACTCAAGAATTTTATGTTCACCTAAATGCAAGTGTTAAATCGTCACCATCCTCAACCCATGACTGTCGTGTCTACTACTAGATGTTCTCAAGATGTGATAAATAAAAAGACAAGAATGACAATTTGATTTTACGCGGTAGAGCCACGCAGCACGAATGGGTCGCAACTGGGATAAGACCATGTTTTCAGAGAATACCAGCGTAAAACAGCGGGGAAAATGCTGTGTTTAGTATAGTGAGTGTAGAGAACCGGAGACTCTTTTTACTGGTTACGAGGCATTCCATCTTAGCCCTCAGGGTGACAATGCATCAACATTATGATTCTTAACTGAGGATAGATGTATGCCTATGGTCCACAGCATCCACTTACAATCAAGTGGACCGTGTGCTCGCTTGTCACTCTTAATATCATATTCTTAGATTTTGAGCATTGAAAGACTCGGCGGCCTGGCTCTTTTCTTTAATTTAACAGCAGATGAGTATTAAGTATTTATGTGCCATTGAGGTTGGGATACACGATTTACAAGGTTATTTCTTACGCGTGCAGGTAATTCTGTAAAAACATTGCTCTTCTTAATTAGAATCGATTATTTATTAACTTGCCGACACTATAGAGATTATTAATTACAATTTTAAATGTTAATGAAAATATTGTGAGAAAAATTGCATGTTTATGAAATAAAGTATTTATATTTAAAGAACATAATATAAGTAGAGTTCCAAAATTAATTAAAGCGATGAACTTTCTTATAAATTAATTCTTACAAAATGATAATAAAACAACGTTTGTCATTTTCTTTCTTTATATGGTTAAACACACACAACAATTAAGCTTGTCTTTATAGACTATATTGCAAATTAATGTATACTATATATGTATATAATTTAAGTTTGTTATATGGTACTTCTTAATATAAATACACATACTTATAATTGCTGACGAACACCTTACGTGACAGTATTGGCGCTCCACGAGACAATCTTGAAGTGCCCGACGCCGGGCTGCAACGGCCGCGGCCACGTGAGCTCGAACCGAAGCACACATCGATCGTTGTCCGGTTGCCCCACGGCCGCCGCGCGCAAAGCTGCTGCGAGGTCTCAACGCGCCAGACCCACAAGTAAATTACAAGACTATTTTTTTTCTCTTAAAAAAAATAATGGAGACCTTATACATAATTAAAATTTGATTTACATTTCTACATTTGATTTAATTTTTAATTTTTTTTCTGAATTGAGGATAAATGTAAATGTCTATGGGGTCACAGCATCCGCTTACCAACAGGTAGACCGTGTGCTCGCTTGTTACCCTGATTCTATAAAAAAAAACATACATAAATTGCACATGGACTTTTTAGATTGCATCCAGACTCAATTATTGTAGGCCGCCATACAAACACTTTTTGCGTGCGGGATTCGAAGCTCCCGCACCAATGCTACCAGTCTCTTAGCGACTGCTCTACCCAATCGTCGAAATTAGGGCGAGCACACACTACTGTCAAGTTAACTACTGCCCTTGCTGCTAAACATAGCTATGTATTTTCGCTCAAATCCACATGGTAGCTTTTTCTTTTTCATAATTTCTCTCCATTATGTGAATCGGTAGAAAATGTATTAACAATCCATTTATTGTGCAAAATTTAACTTAAATTGCTGCTATTAATGCATTTGTTATGTTTGCAAATACAGTACCAACCCCATCGCATCCACCAATAAACACAAACACAGAAAATTCCAATACAATACGCGAGCGAGAACGCGAACGAGAGCGCGAACGGGAACGAGAACGAGAACGCGAACGAGAACGTGAACGTGAACGAGAGCGCGAACGAGAGCGAGAACGCGAACGGGAACGGGAACGAGAACGCGAACGGCAGCGTGAGCGGGAACGCGAACGCGAACGTGAACGCGAGCGCGAGCAAGCGGCGTCGCCGCCGAGTCCCGCCGTGAAAAGCGAAGCACCCGAACTGCTCGTGCCGAAGCGCGAGGCCGCCGAGCCCGAGCGCGACTCCCCCGGCGGGATGGAGACGCGCCACGCCGGCTACGGCGCGCCGCCCGATCAGCGATCGCCTTACGAGCGTCCACCAGACGACCACGTTCGTTCCTACAGGTAATTACAACTATTACAATTTGTAACCGTGATATTTCAGGTGACCTGCGGCGCCACCTCGGCATACTTTGTGGCATAATTACAAGCGATAAGACATTCCGTCTTCTTCCTCGCAGGTGACAACGCATCTGTATTTTTTTAAATGGTTTCGTGTAGGCTGTTCGTCAGTAGGCTGTGATAGTCACTTTCCATCCATTCTATTTCCATGGCCTGTTACTTGTTTATCATCTTAATAATTATTAAAAAAAAATGCAAACGTCCTCACTTTTCTTAACATGAACTTGCCTGCGGTGATGGAAAACATCATAAGGAAACTTTAATATATGTGAGACATTAATAATTAGATCATATGGTGGTCTTCAACGGATTCTTCCCTGCCCTATGTCCAGCAGTCCAACATTTAAAGGATCTTACTTTTATTTAGAAATTTAGTATTATTGACGTTAAATAAAAATGGCGATATTTTAAACGTAAAGGACACAAGACCTTTATATAATTTGCGTGGCTCCCAAAAAACTAACCCATATTTTACGTTATGGGGATTAAATAATTTTGAATATGGCTTTCTGTTTAAAATTGTGGTTATACATTTAAATCACATGAAAGACAACTCATTATCAAGTATTTTTTTTGTTTATGACTAATAATATCAAATAGTAAAAAAAAATACATAATTCTATTCAAATGCAACTTGTTTTCCTATTTATTAGGCTTATACATAAAAAACGAGATCTCTGATGTTACATTTCTGTCTTAGTCAAATGAACGACGCTCGGTACGGATACGAGTCGCGATGCTACGAAGGTGCCCCAGCCTTCGAGCGATACGACCCGGCACAATGTCCACAACGTCCATATAGCTGGGAGGAGGAACGATACCACGACCCACATCTGCCAACGCCAATGAAAACAGATCAGTCTGAACAGGAGACCAGTTCCGGACCAATATATCCTAGGTATTTAAAAACTACTGCTATTCGTAACTAAACCCTGATATTATTATGCTTATTATTACTACTTAAAATTAAAAGAACTCAGTAAACACACAAAATAATGCCTGATATGTGGTAAACGAGACCCACCTTCAATGTACCATCCCTTTATTTTTGTAACTTGTTTCGTTCCCAAAAAAGTCGAATAAGAGCGTAAACCATCCTATTGGTGCAGACCAATGTACCACTACGAAGCCGGTAGCGGAGTAGGCGGTGTTGGTGGCGTCAGCGCGATGGCACCAGGCGTCCCACCCGGCTTCTCCGCGATCAATCTATCGGTGAAGATAGCAGCGGCGCAGGCGCAACGACCGCGTACTCCCACACCAAGAGATCCGCGCGATCCCCGTCCAGCCATAGATCTCTCCACTTCTAGTGGTAGTCCACAGGTGAGATCTTGCACCCCGAGATATTCTATAACTGCTTTTGATAACTAATACATAAAATCGATTTAATAGTTCCGCTTGTCTTCAATTCTAAAAGCCCATTTTTACAACAGGGTCCATATGCATCCCCGGTGTACACGAGTGCCGGTGGCGGCAGCGGGGGCGGAGCCCGAGGCAGTCCACAGCCAGGCGCTTCGCCCCAGCTCACAGCCAGCCCCCAGGTGCCCAGTCCGCAGGGTCAGACCCTCGACCTTAGTGTGTCCCGTTTACCACATAGGTGAGGCATATTGCGATAGGTCTATTATTTTTAAAACATGGTTATTTTTCCCTATTGCTCAATATTTTACGCTTTGATTTCACATTAATTTAAAAATATTTTACATTTAATAATAATAATAATTTGTTATATATTTGTCAACAGTCGAGGTTTCCCCGGTGGTGTGTCATATAGCCGAGAATCAACACCGGACAGTGGCGGCAGTCATCCGTATTTAGAAGCATATCATAGAGATGCTGCTGGTAAATAAAATTAATAACCTCTTAAATATCAAAATTAATAACTCTAAAGAGAAAACTTCCTTTAATTCGTATTTATATATACCATTCAAGTTGTATGAAATTAATTTGCTAAGATCCGCGTAATGAAAAAAAATGATGTGTCTTACCTAGTTTGAAGAGCACCTCCCGCCCTGCCTCAATCTCCTGCACGCAGCACTATCCCCGTCACCAATAATGCCAACATCACTACTCCCAACAACTCAACTCCTAACACTACTCCCAACACTACTACACTAGGAAAGACACATTGGTGTTTCGCCTCTACACGAGGCATCATCAGATGAATTAGACTCTACGGTTGCTGACAACTAAGCTTTTTAATTTTTCACAACTTTAATACAATGGGTTTCCGCAAAGTAACGCCTGTTTCTATTAATTATATATATATAATGATTTCGTAATATTTACGCGATTTCTTATATTTCTAATTTTTACGGATATCCGTAAAAATTAGTTTCATTTAATGTGTAGTCTTCGCGTAAATACAAGAAATCATTATGTTATTCGTAAAAATTAGTTTCATTTAATTATATAATATACATACATACTTACATATAATCACGCCTCTTTCCCGTAGGGGTAGGCAGAGACCACTTCTTTCCACTTGCTACGATCCTTACATACTTGTTTCGCTTCGTCCACTTTCATTATTCTCTTCATACATACTCTACGGTTTAGGGTACTCTTGACCTGGCCTTTTTTCAAGACGTCCCTGATTTGGTCTTGAAATGTCCGCCTAGGTCTACCCCTTCCAACACTTTCATTCACACTCGTCTTATACACTTTTTTCGTCAATCGTTCTTCATTCATTCTCTCGACATGTCCAAACCATCTCAGCATACCTTTCTCAATTTTTGTCACTACATCTTCTTTCAGACCACAACGTTTCCTTATCTCACTATTTCTTATCCTGTCACTCAGTTTAACTCCTATCATACTTCTTAACGCTCTCATCTCAACTGCATTTATTCTGCTTTCATGTTTCTTCTGCCATACCCAACTTTAACTTCCGTACATGAGTGTCGGAACCAACACCCCCTCATGCACAGCCAAACGAGCCTTGTTAGACACCTTCCGACTGCTCATAAAGGAGTTCAAAGCTCCATTCACCATGTTTCCTGCATTCACTCTTCTTTCGATATCACTCTCACACTTTTCATCTCTTGTAAACTTTGAACCCAGATACACAAACTCTTTCACCTGTTCAATTTGTTCATCTCCAATCACGATATTGCAGTCTGTCGCTCTGTCACTAATTATATATATTTCAAAAATAATTGTATTTTTATTTTGATGGGAGTTAAATTTTACATAATTTTAATAGTAGCAATATTCAAGTGAAAGGAGGTTCACACACCTTTATTATATTAACGATTTTTTGGCCATTTTATTTATCGTGCACGTGCGTAAGAGAATTTATCACTCAACTTATTTCCACGACTGTCGTAAGAAGCGACTGTAGAGTTGCCAGAAAGAGCTTAACATGTCAGGCAAATAACATCTAGCGTCTTTATACCACGCGAATATTAAACAAGACCGGCGACGGAAGCAGCGTCAAATGTGCAAGATGTTTGGAACGGGGATTGTAAATCCATCTGACAAGTTACCTTCGGCACATACATATTTTTACGAAGATGAAAATTTATATTCATTACGTTATAAAAATATTTATATAATTTTCGTTTAACATACCTTGATGTTTTAATCTGGAAAAAGCTGAGGATTATAATCCTGTGTACACAATGGTAACGTAAAACATATCGAACAAATTAAAACGAGACCACTATAATCACACTACGCTGTAGCGAGTACACCGCAACCGCAACATGTCGGTTGAAGAAACGTTGCTAATCCAATATAACAGGCGCTTATACATAAGCATACTTCACCGGTTTAGTCTTAATAGTAATGAAAAACATTTCTGCACTTAATTTCTTACAATTTATTTTTTTATGCGTAACCTTCATTTTTTTATCCTACTTATGAGGTAATCTATGGGGTGTTATGGATGGATGGATGCTTAGAATTTATTTATGAAGGATTTTCTTTAAATATTATGTCGATATGAAAACAAAAACTTAAGATTCAAGTGTTTTCTAAATTATTTTGTTGTCAATATTATATAAGTACCTAGTAACCCATTTCGCTTCAACAAATCGAAAAATATGTCTCGCCTATGGATACTTTATTGAAAATTATTAAGAAGGAGGAATAAATACTAATAATATGCTATCAATTTTCGAAATAGGATACGGTGGAGTCAGTCCGCATCCAGTAGCTGGTTACGGTTTAGGCCAACCGGACTACGCGGCGGCAGCGGCCGCAGCGGGTTATGGAGGCTACCAGTACCAATGCGGTGCTTACCCCCCTCCTCCCGCCTACCCTCCACACGCTCCCCCCTATTCACCACCGTGCTACATGCCGCCACCACATGCTCCGCACGACAAGCCTAAGGACAGCAGGTGAATATACTCTTTAAGCTTAAGTATTTTCATTAATGTATGCCATTAAACGTGATTGTAATAACCTCATAATTATATAGAGTTGTGGGGAAAGCTTCTACAACATTTAATTAATTAACAATCAATTCACTCCTTAAAATTTCAATAAAAACTACATGTTTTTCTTGAAATTCATATAAAAAAACTCTTACTCTACATATTTTTTGCAACATGTTAACTTAAACTTACACTTTTAGGATAAAGAACGTGTTACTTAAACATCAAAACAACCAATGTATTTTTTTAGGATAAGGGTGGCAAACGAGCACACAGTCCACCTGACGGTAAGTGGTTGCTGTTGTCCATAGACATTTACATCTATCTTCGATTAAGAGTCAAAATACAGATGTGTCATCACCCTTGAGGACTAAGATGAAATGCCTAGTTTCCAGTGAAAAGGATATCCGGTTCTCTACACTAACCAAGTGAAACACAGCAGCACCATGCTGATATTTTACGCTGGTAATCTGTGAGAGCGTGGTCCTTCCCCACCGAACCAACCCATTCGTGCTACAACCATAATATAACTGCAGCATGGCTCTACCACGTAAAAAATCGAAAGTATAACTACGATGCACTCAAACGGAGCTTCGTTTTCATAAGATGAACAATTAATGGTTTTGGTGATTGACTTAAATATGATCATATTTAAAAGCCTTTGATTGTTCACGCGCAAAATTTGATTCTGTATCCCTACCTACATGTTTTTACCCTCCATTATGTTTCCGAATGCCCAGACTCATTAAGAATATTTTATGTACGAGTACCGTGACTCTTTATTAACTCTTAAAATGTATGTGATCTTGTCTAAGTCCAGACATATTTGACGCTGTATAATAACACGTACTCTTCTTAGTCTGTGATGTTAACTGATGCAAGCTCTACCAAGACCTACTAAATATACTATATACATATATAGTATATATATACATATATATAATACGCTATATGGCATCAAAGTTCTATGTATGTCAACCAGAGCAGGTATTTGAAACAATAATCGCTACTAAAATCCACCTAACTATATTAAATTTAGATTTACGTATAGATATAGATAGAAAAAACAAATACTTATCAACTTATCACAATATAATTAATTTTACCCGATTATAATAGGGAGTTACCCAACTCGACTGTACGTTTTTTATGTGTGTTAAGTCAACTTTTTTCTACATAGTTGAACCGATTTCGATTATTCTTTTGTTATTTGAAAACTGGTGTTTCTCATGTGGTCCCATATATATATATTTGATCAAGGTCTGACCAGTAGTTTTTGAGTATCAATCGTAATAATATCTAACAGAAAGTAATTATTGTACTTGGTAAGAGATATACACATCAAGACTTTAGGGATATTAGGTTAACTTTAAAAGTATGTACTGGCCATATAAAAAAGATTTGAATGTCAACTTGATCCTGACACATTGACGGCGAGGATCGAACCCAAGTTTCTCGCGTACTGTGAAACTTACAGCGCGCGTTAGCCATCTGAACTACCACGGCTCCAAGCCAGGTAATTATTTGTATCTAATTAAACTGCCAGTATTTTGAACAAAAACAAGGGACTACATAATTTTTGTATTAAAAGATTAAAGAGTTTCAAGTATAGGTAAGCGTTAATCATCCTTAAATTCAGTTCCTCTGGGTTCAAATTCAATTGCTTAGGCGCTCTGAGATACTAACAGCATCGACTGTCTGCTGGCTCAAGCTGCCGACAAAATCTTCCAAAACTATGAAATACGACGCATCAACATGTTATTGTAAACAATTTTGTTAGCAAAATACGCGTCAGACTAAGCTGTATAATTTTGTATGAATGTCTATAACCTTTGCCGACCTTAACTAGCCAATCGTAACAACAAAACGAATAAATTTACGTTAATTTTCTTCTATGTACATCATAAAGACTTATTTAAAACGAATTTTAAATAATCTCACAAGGTTTTTTTTTATAGAATAAGGGTGACAAACACAGAGTACATTATATATAGGGAAGTGACAAACGAGCACACAGTATACCTGATGGTAAGTGGATGATGTGGCCCAAAGACATTTATTTTCGATTAAGAATCAATATCCAGATGCGTTGTCACTCCTGAGGACTAAGATGGAATGCCTCGTCATAAATAAACGGCTCTAAAAATACGCTCTACCACGATTATTTAAAATTTAAATTTAAAAATAAATCTAGGTCATAAAATAAAAGTAATTTTATTCACCAATAAGTTTTTACTCTTTTTTTGTTTTGCTATTGTACAATGTATAATTTAGAATCACGAATAAGAATTTCAATAGAAGTAACGTTTCGCCATTGTCTCGAAGTGTGGGATTGCAATTGAAACTAAAGTCACACTCGGCGGATCAGTCTAAATATACCGGCGCCCGCGCAGGCGCGCTCTCGCGTGCGCGTAAACACAGATAAATAAAGATAAGATATATAAAAAGCAACAAAAAATACAGCTATGAGACGAAACAGGTAAGCTAAATAATTATTTAATATTTGCTAGATTACTTAGTAAAACTTAACAATCACTAGTTATTCTGCTACATACCAACAAAAAATACAGTTTAGAAAAAAAATGTAAACATTTTTGCATGTAGCACTACGTAGATAGTGATCGCGCTCGATACAGAATTATACAACTTCGCTTATGAGTTAGTAGGACATTGACATGATTATACAAAAACTTGTGCCTAATTAGATGAAACCCACATTAGGTATACGTCAACTCATTTATCTTATTTTTATTGAATGAATTGAAATCATAAGTTACGTGCTTCTTATTTTTATTTATTTCACGATAGCTATCTCCGCGACGACTTTTACGGGAAACCAGGTTACCGGATACGAGAGTCGAGAGAACTCATCCAGTGCCCGGTGGAGACGTGCGACGGATCGGGGCATGTGTCGGGGAACTTCGCAACGCACCGCAGGCAAGCGATAATATTCGCGCACTCTCGCGAATATTCGCGTTTGCATTGCGATATACTTCATGGCGCGGTTTCATGTTGTTTCGCGCCCCTGAACGGCAATTTACCCGTTTCCGCACCCAACAATTTGACAGCGTAATCCAAGGTTTCTCTGTGCACTAACCGCATGACGAAATGTTGACGTGTAATTGTTCGAAGCATCGACTTAGTTTCCATGTTTAGAGTTTAAAATGCTAACATATTTTCAAGCAGCTTATTTATTATTTCTATCGAATACAATACTGTATGAGATATTATCTAACCAGTGAGTCAGTGACCATTGTTAAATACTCTTTCAATCCTTGTCCAGTTTTAATTCAATTGAGGTAAAATAAACACTTCATCTAATTTAACATTGAAAGTACCTAACTTCCAAAGCAAATACGTTTTTAATGATTTAATTATATTTATTGATACATTTATACATTTATACACGTATAACTTGATATCATTTAGTACACAATTTTTAGTTTTATCTTCATATTAATGTATTCAAAATACCTATATAATAAACAAATATAATTATTAACTTTATAAAGATATAATATCTAAAGATTTGTCACGTAAATTGTTTTAATTTAAAACACTAATTTTAATATTAATCACTTATAATGTTAAATTCTAAATCTAAAAGTAATTATTTATTAAATGAAATCAAAACAAAATTGGGTTTTTAAATATTTTAATCCATAAACTAAATTAGCAAATTATTCTTAAAAACTTTACCATGATATACAGTACATAAATGAAATTAGCATTCTATCATATTTATAGAAACTCCACATATTCTTGCTCTTGTGTTTGCATATGTGGGGCTCACCACGGTGTATTTTTAATTCTTTTAATGTGACGTTATGTTAACCTGTTTTGTAGAATAATGATTAAGTTTAGTAGACCTAATAAACCATAAATATCACTTTTATTCTTAATTACTAAAAGTGTACGCACGGTTAGGTCAATGCGTAATAGTAATATATTATCATCATTTTATACGTGGTAGAGCCATGCTGCAACTATATTATAACTCCACTGGGGTAGCACCACGCTCTCACAGAATACCAGCCTAAAATAACTGATTAACACTGCTGTATTTCATATGGTGAGTGTAGAGAACAACCGCAGACACTTTTTCAGGAAACGAGGCATTTTAATTTTGTCCTCAGGGGTAAAACTATGCATCTGCATTTTGATTCGTAATCGAGGATAAGTAAAGATGTCTATAGACCACAACATCTACTTACTATCGGTTGGACTGTGTGCTCGTTTGCCACCCTTATTTTAAAAATCACCATCATTATAGCCCATCACGTCCTTTTCTGAACATAGGCCTCCCCCAAGGAATGTTACAAAGCACGGTCCTCACCTAGATGCATACATCGTCTTTCTGTATCTCTTACTAGGTTACCTTTCCATCTCTCCATCCAAATTATCCAAATATCATAATTTATCATTATATTAATCTCCAATCAAGATATAAATTGTCATGCAAGTTTTTTTATGTAATACATCTATTTACTAATACATTTTTTTTATTGCATATTAACATAGCCTGAGTTGAATTGACACATTAAATATTGTGTAATTTTGTTTAGTTTCCAAAGTAAATTACTTTTTTGCTAAAATTTTAATTGATTTCGCCACAGAATTATTAATATTTATTAATTCCGTCTGTCTTGCGTAACGTCGTAGAGAAATTTCTGACTTATGTGAGGACAATGTAAAGCAGAGGAATTTTTAAATATTGTGAAAAAATATCAATTGTTATAACTTTGTATTACGTTAACGATCCGACATATTGATTTGACCATCGCAAATATGAAAAAATAAATAGATTGACGTTGTTAATATTATTTAAATTAAATTTTGATCCTGTTATCGCAATTGTTTTAAAACAGCAGCATAAAATGCATCTAGGAACGGTCAGCCAACCTTAATCATCATTTACAATTATCTAAAAGTTTAGATGAATGTTTAATTCACTTTCTACATAGATACGTAATACAAAAAGCTTTTTACCGGCCATGAATGTCTTATTAGTTTTTATTTCACCATCATCATAACAACCCTTCACAAGTCCACAGATGAACGTAGACCTCTCCCAAGGAATTCCACAAAGCACGGTCCTAAGCCATCTGCATCCGTCGACATCCTGCATCTCTTACCAGTTCGTCAATCCAACTTGTGGGGGCTAACACGTCCCTTATTAATTCACTACTTTATGTGTTCATTGATTATTTATTGTAGTTTAGATTAACCATACTTAATGCAGAAACACTAACCTGATTATGAAGAAACTGTTAACTTGTTCCACTTCACTGACATCCATATTAATATTAATAAGTAAGTGAAAGTTTGTAAAAATGTTCGAATATTTGTTCCTAAAATGTTCGAATGTTTGTTCCTCGTGATACTCAATTTATATGTGGTAGAGCCACGCTGCAGCTAAATATAGCTGCAGCACGAATGGGTCGGCTCGACCGGGGTAGGACCACGCTCTCACAGAATATCAGTGTAAAATATCAGCCTAATGCTGCTGTGTTTCGCATGGTGTGTAGAAAACCGGAGACCATTTTTTATTGGAAATGAGGCATTCCATCTTAGTCCTCAGGAGTGACAACGCATCTGCATTTTGATTCTTAATTGAGCATAAATGTAGATGTCTATGGACCACAGCATCAACTTACCATCAAGTGGACTGTGTGCTCGTTTGTCAATTTGGCAAACATATAAACCAAGCCTTGGGTTAATAAATGAAAACATTACCAGGGGAGAATAAAAGATATCGCGAGAAAATGATGAAAATGAGAGACTGCATTTCTTTTTTACGCGTTCTAAGCCGCCGGCAGAAGCCAACAAATAAAATAACTAAAATTGGAATTGGACTTTTTACTATTCCTAAAGTGCGACGCGTTGTATCGTCACGCCATTGTAAGCAGTTTGTATATGTGCAGTCTCTCCGGGTGTCCGCGCGCCGACCGCTCACAACTACAGCCGCACTCGCAGGAACTCAAGTGTCCCACACCGGGGTGCGACGGCTCTGGTCATGTCACAGGCAATTACTCCTCACATCGATCACTATCTGGCTGCCCTAGAGCCAACAAGCCTAAGAGCAAGCCTAGAGATGGACAAGACTCTGAACCTCTCAGGTAAGCTATTGTCTTTTAATTTTGTAAAAACAAAATGCATCCAAATACGACTGTTATAAATTTATCCACATATAAATATTTTACTGCCGAGTGGCGGCGGCGTAAGGAGTCCTTTACCCCACTCCGTGCCGTGAGTATCGTAAGAAACGACTATGGTAAATAACAAAAAAATATTTTGGCTTGCGATAGACATATATCCACCTCGCTTACGACGTGAAATACCCACATCGGCATCGGCAACAGGCAACAGTGTCAAAGGTGTGAGACGACTGGTATTTTTGTCTCACTTATTATAAGCCACTTGACTATAATCCCACCTGGTGGTAAATTGTGATAAAGCCCTTGATGGTAGATAGCAGTAACAAAAGCCTATTCACTCTTGCCTTGAAGACGCCCAGAGTTGTACTCGGATAGCGGGACAGACGCCGGTAAATTGTTCCACTTCTACTACACCCGTCTGTCAAGTGTGACATTTGAGACAAATCTTACCACGAGAGAGGCGATGTCTAGCAATGGACTTAAACAAGGTGCTGGAAAAGAAGAAGAAGAACATGGAGACTTAAGGGCGACTGGGCATTATATTGGTTACAGTGACTAAGATTGTTACCAAGTCAAATACAGCTATAAATTGTGCTGTCTTAACATTAATAAGTCATTATTTTTAACAAAAATCCATTATCAGCAAATAAAACGTAATGTTCAATTAATAATTATAACTGGCAAGTAGTTGATTGTTTTTTTTTATAGAAATAAGTTACTATATACAAACATACCGTCCTCTCACCACTGTGGTCCATACACACTTTCATCTACCCTCGATTAAGAACTAAAATGTAGATGCTCTTTCACCCCTGAAGACTAATATGGAATGCCCCGTCAGTAAAAGGGGTCTGCGGTTCTCGTCACTCACCATACGAAACACAGCAGCGTTAACCTGGTTTAAATGGTTGCATTATGCTGCTATTTCACATTTTGCGCTGTTATTCTGAGGCAGCGTGGTTCTTCTGGGTAAAGCCAACTCATTCGTGCTGCAGCCACAGTATAGATGAGGCGGGTCTTTGTATCGGCTCAACCAGAACACACCATGCTCTCACAGAAGTACGCATGGTAAGTTACGAGAACCAGAGACCGTTTCCACAGGAAACGAATCTATTAGTTCTAAGGATCGATAATGTATATAGACAATAGACGGTGAAAGTGCCTTTCACCGTATCTACTAACCACTAGCTGGACTGTGTTCGTTTATCACCCTAAATAGTATCATTTAGTAAACTGTCACCATTGATTCTAATGGTCTTTTTTTTTCGAAACAATCAGTACAGATTTAATAACACATATGCAACATTTTTTATGCAACCAATGAGTTTGAAGGAATATCAAGAAAACGACGGTCAAACGGGACTGTTTTTGGTTCCAACAGTTTCCTGTTTCGCTAATGAAGTGGAGCAACATAGAATCCCTGATGTCAAATGCGAAAAATTTGTACATAATTTAATATTTGTTATTTTTAGTGATTCCGGTAACATATATACCCTAAGTCTAAAATACTCTCTAATATTTTTAACAAAATGATAAGCTTATTCCTTTTTATACTTGCCGTTTCACATGCCGTTGCACACGCCTTTTGCAATACTAAAACATGATTTCATTTGTCATATATATAATATATATTTTTCAATCCCTTTACAAATAGTTTGTTGATTATTTACACGCTGCTTAGATGCCCTATACCGGGCTGTGATGGATCTGGACACGCTACAGGGAAATTCTTATCGCATCGAAGGTAAGGTCACGTGCAAACTACGTAGATGTAAAACTAAGTAGCGTATTATTAAAGATCTAATAAATAGTTCCCTTAATTATATTTCCCTGAACTAATCACATTTTTCATTTCATCAGTGCCTCCGGCTGTCCTATTGCGAATAGAAATAAAATGCGGGTGCTAGAAAGCGGTGGAACCGTGGAACAGCATAAAGCGGCTGTTGCAGCAGCAGCGTCGGCGATCAAATTCGATGGCGTCAACTGTCCAACACCCGGCTGCGATGGTTCAGGCCACATCAACGGCTCGTTTCTAACACATCGCTCTCTTTCCGGTTGTCCTGTGGCGGGGTCTGCTACACCCACACCTCAGCCGAAGAAGCCCAAATACCCTGACGACATCACGCCATTATATCCGAAACCGTATTCAGGTAACTCAACAACAATAGACGAGTGCATTTAATAATTTGCATGTGCAAATATTTAATTTAAGTATTTACCGATTGCAGGCATGGAAATGAACATGCAGACTGGCAACGGGGAAGACCTTATGACCCTTGAGCAAGAAATAACGGAACTGCAACGAGAGAATGCTCGCGTCGAATCACAAATGATTCGCCTCAAATCAGACATCAACGCCATGGAAACGCACCTCAGTCATGGGGAAAGAGTGAGTTCTTATGAAATTAATTGGGAGATAGGGCTCTATCAATGAAGCTTTACCTATTTTTTTTTAATATTTCAATTATCAAAAATTTCGTAGATGGTACTGTCATGGCTCCAAACATCCAGCTTTGAGTGCTACTAACATCTTGCAAATATTTGTGAGTACCATAATAACTATTCGATCGAACGCACTGACAAATTAAACAAACACTTAGTCATTAACTCATGTTAAAACGATGTAAAGAAAAACTTCTCTTTCATTGCAGGAGAACCAGCTCATATCTCAGCGCAATAACAATCTCAACGAATATTACGAAAGCTTGCGTAACAACGTTATAACCTTACTGGAACATGTCCGAATTCCTGGAGGGGGGACCGCTCCTGTAACGAACGCTGGAGGAACACCCGGGGCTCCACCACCTACAGGTCCAGGAGAGAAGCCTGCCCATGATAATTTCGACTCCTATCTCACAAAACTGCAAACTCTTTGCTCGCCCGATGGTTACTGCCCCGACGAAAATCGGCCCATATATGAAACGGTGAAAAACGCGCTTCAGGACTTCACAGTACTACCGACACCAATTTAAGGTTCATCAAGCGCCGCCGAGAGTGACCGACAGTGAAATATTTGACCAACACCGATTGTGATCGGCGGAGCTTTAAAGTGAACACGACTGAAAGACAGTGCAATTGTTGTAGTCCTTTCGCTAAAGCACGTGGGGTATTATTCCAAGAGCTAATTACCAAAGATTAAAAAACTATAATATCAAATCGGTTAAATACAGTGATAAATGTGTATGAAACTTTGTACTCGTATAGTGTATCCGAACGCATCGATTTTTTCGGACATTATGTGTTCTGTATAGGTAATGATGTTTTATATAAACCGTTGTATACGATGTGTGACTTCTCTTCGACATCACAAAACATTCAAAATTCGTTTGAATATTAAAGACCTAAACAAGGACTTAATATAAGACTTAAATAAAATTTAAACACTGTTACTCGTATATGATTAAAATTAACTATTCGTTAGGAAAAGTTTATGCTATTGCATTTAAGTGATTTAGCCCCCACAAAAACAATGACTACCAGATTTCGAATATGTAAATATTGTACTTAATTTCGATACGATAGAAATTATAATTGTCAGGGGGCTACTAAACCAGTGGTTGGAGATTAATCAAATAATGAATTTGTTTTAACAAAAAGAAGAAATTAAATAGTGTTTAAGATGATAATATGTTAACAAATCCTTACTTTCTAATACTGGGAATGTGCCAAACGCTTCAGTCACAGCAGCTCCCCGCTGGTATATTATTGATTGGGCTACCGAGATAGAAATAAAAACAAACGAAATTAATAAACTCCTTAGAGTACACTCTAGTCAGTTTTGTAAATAAAATTGTGAATATAAAGTTGTCACGTCAATACGGACGTTTTTATTTATATTAGGTAATAATGAAATCTCATTAGGTCAAGTAAGATAAATAATTCAGTCATTAATTGATAACCAATTTTAGATATTAATGAAAACTTTCTTTGTTAGTCAAGTTACACTTCACTGTGATTATGTTACGTGTTACAACTTATTTATTGTTATCTTTTACGAATGTGATAGCTTAATCGTGGCGAGTTAGTGTTAATTTGCAATGTTTAGTTGACGCGCTTTACACAAAATGTGTGCAATAATTGTTTGAATCTGTACCTACTTGGAAAAATTTTGTTGAGTCGAAATCATTGAAAACTTAAAAGTTCTCTCTTCAAGTCACATTGGTACACGAATCGGAATTTATATTCGCATTTAAATACTAAACCTATTAAATATGTTATTACTCTGATTATCATATACGTTTCTGTAAAATATTGAGTATGTGTTGTTAAAGAGAATAAAAATAATAAATAACAAGATTATCGTATTACCTTTTATTTTTCTAAATACTTATACTATTCAGCACTCTATCCAACACATTTCCCTTTGTTTTAAAATTTTGCTTAGGTGTTACCTCACCCTCTAACCCTTTTACCCGTTATCCTTAACCTATCGAGAGTCCTTTCTAACAGTGAATATTTGTATCAGTTTAATAAACGAAAAAGAAGCCTGGCGTGTGTTGACTGTGTCTCATGTTGGCCTGGGACATATCGAACTTATAAAAAAAATATGCCAACTGAGTCACTTGCTTAGCACGTCGTAGAAGGCGATTAATGGGATATATGTAGGCTTTGTGATTAATTAAGCGTTAGGCTAGTCGCCTAACGTTTCTTTCACCATTATCTAACAGGTATTTGTAAACTTTCAGTTATTTTAAGACCTAGTGACTTATACTAAATTTGAAGTTGCCTCTGCTGCTACTGCTGGAATGTGTCCATAACTTTACATAGTGACACAGTAACTTTTATTATCATGTAAAACAGTTTCTGGTGAAAAGCTGGGACAAAACTTTTACCAGATATGGAAGAAACTAGGGAATGTTCAATCCTTGCCAGCTTTTTGCTTGCAAGGATGCTTCAGTTTTGTTCTTATTATCCCTGTGGCTCTACGCTAAGTCCACCAGTGGAGTAGCGTGCCTTAGAGGGGCCCTGTATCAAAATTTGTCGGGGGGGCCATAGTAAAGATTTTTCACAAGAGGAACAAAAACTCTCGGATTGAATTAAAATAATTATATATTGATTATAAGTTATTACTTACAATTAATACTCCTAGGAACTAAGCTAGGCAAACAATTCAAACCAACATCCTGTCCCATAGAAGTCCTTAGAATTTTTGCTTACATACGTTCGAGGCCTCTGTAAGTCGGGGGCCCCGTATCATTGATACGTTCGATACGGCGGTAGCTACGCCCCTGAAGTTCACCCAACAAGGATTTCGTTAAATGTTTGAAGGATCTACTTGGAAATGTATGAAGAATATTGGAAAATAAAAGTATGTAAACGTCTGCTGCTGGGAACAGGCCTAACCGAATTACTAATACTGCCGACGGAAAGTGTCTGGGAGTATTAATGACTGATATTTAACGATATTAACATAGATATTACATAGATATTAACATTTACATAAAATTCAACTGGGAGAATTAACGTGAGGTGAGTAAGGTCTGACCTGGAAAATGACCCACTGACCAAGCTAGCATGTAGGCATGCGATCATAGTACATACATCTTGCACAATAGGTACTAGCTATTTATATAAAATTATGAAACTGAAAAGGTTCTGTTTCGATGAATAGATATCATCCGTCATATTCTTCCTCAACGACGTATTTTTATTAATTTCCTTCTCTTTAAAATGGTCAAGCATCGATAAATACTTATTAAGGCAAGAGTTGATGCCGCTATTCTTTCGACGTCTTTCATCGTTGCTGACTCAACGCAAACTGACCGCATCGCGAGAGTGTAAACAGGCACTCGTTACCTCGCAACAACACGCGAGCTGCGAGGCGAGGTACGAGGCGAGGCGCGAGGCGAGAGACTAAACGCGGTATTACATCTAGAACATGCAGGCTATCTCATAATTTTCAACTTACCTCAGAACTTGTGGTAAATCTGCTACTTAAACCAATTATTTATTCAGTGCTTTGTTTTTTTTTAATATAGACAATGGTTTAAATTGGATTTTGATACGTAAAAGTGGTGCAATTTTGTATATTAAATTTCTGCAAATGTGAACTATTGTGGAAACGATGAAACAAGTGCTCCGGTGGTGATGTGAACCTAAAGTTATTTTGCTCGCTAATGTGGCTCGAGATACTATCGTCTTCAACTGTCTGCTAAAGGTCTGCTGGCTCAAGCTTTGAAAGCAAGAAGTTTTCAAACAAATTATTTCCTATAAAGGATAATTTCATCTTAGTGACACTGGCAAAAGTACAACCATACGAGTTCATTACCAAAGAAAAAAGTGTCAAATGACAACTGACCAGTGTTGCCAACCGTACAAATTAAATCGTATTCATACGATCTTTTTTGCCCTAGTACGATGTACGATCATGTATTCGAAATCGTACGCAAAATATACGATCTTTTCAAATCTTATAATCTTTATAACAAAATAAAAATGATAATTGATTAAGTTCATTTTATCGATATGAAAAATGAATAACATCAATATTGAACAAGATATAAACTTTTCTTTGTATTTTTTTATGAACGTATCCAATCCAATAATTATTTAAACTCTCTAACCCACTCGCACTTTAGAAATACGCAGTTATGCAGAGTACTAGCACTTCTTATTAGTTTGTGGTGTTATACTACTCTGTCAACTCGCCGCCAATTAAGGAATTCCCCGCGCAGTTTAACCGCTTTCCTTCGAATTTGTATATTTTCTAGTTTATGGTACGATCTACTAGGAAATTAAATTGGCAACCCTGCAACTGACTGCTTACAAGTGACAACTGACAACTGAACCAGTGTTGCCAACCGTACGATTTAAATCGTATTCATACGATCTTTTTGGCCCTAGTACGATGTACGATCATGTATTCGAAATAGTACGCAAAATATACGATCTTTTCAAATCTTATAATCTTTATAACAAAATAAAAATGATAGTTGATCAAGTATCGATATGAGAAATCAATAACAGCAAAATTGAACGAGCTCTAAACCTTTCTTTGTATTTTTTTATGAACCAATCCAATAGTTTTTTAAACTCTCTATCCCACTCGCATTTTAGAAATACGCAGCGTACTAGCACTTCTTATTAGTTTGTGGTATTATACTATTCCGTCAAGTCGCTGCCAATTAAGGAATTTTCCGCGTAGTTTAACCGCCTTTCTACGTGTTTTACGTCATTCTATCCGTCCTAATCCAAATAATATTACTCTACGCAGATAATCATATATTACATATTTTTGTTATTTTTTTATTTCCATATTTTTGTAATAGAGGGCAGAGTAGACATAGTCCGAGGCCCTTTCTTTAATAAAAAAAAAGTCGTAGTAAAGTTAGTGTCAGATTCTTTAATGTTATCTCGTTATACCCTAATGTAAAATTTTGCTTTAAGGTAATAATAATATTATTTTTGTATTATTTACCATTATTTTATTGAAATATTGATGCATACTATCTTTTTTTTGAGTTCTTAGTATAATACGATCTTTTCCAGCTTACGGTACGATCTCCTAAAAAATAAAGTTGGCAACCCTGAACTGAACTGACAACAACAACAGAGTTTTTGGCAAGAAATTGACCGGCGGCGGTTTGCTGCTCCTGTATTATTGTTTAAATAATGGTTTGAAGTGGACTTTGATATGTAAAAGTGTTGCGATTTTGTGTATTAAGTGTCTACGCATGTGAACTATTAGTGGAAACAGTGAAACAAGTGCTCTGATGGTGATGGATTCTCAAGATAAGCTGTTTGTTTGCATAGGCACCTTTAGATACCATCGCCAACTATCAGCTGTCTGCTGGATCAAGTTGCCGCCAAAATCTCCCAAGAACTGCACAATGTGACGCATCAACATATTGTGAAGCAGTATACTATGAAGGAGTGGGGAAATTACAATAAACCGAATAAAAATACTTAAGACTTGGCCTAAAGGTCTAGATACCAGGCCATAAACTCCAAAAAAAAAAAAAAAGACAACAAC